TTTTGTTTTTAAAGCAAGTACAATTTTAAGGGATAGGAAATGTGGAATAACATAACATTTCCATGGCTCTATTTGTAATTATGATTAAAGTATTAGATTTGTCTAACAATTAACTTATAAAACTTAGTGTTTGAACCATGGTTAGACATGGCAAACGGGTAGGGGTGCAGTTATGGCCACCTATATGTTAAGATGTTCAAAAATTGTAAAATGTAATCTTTAAAAATATTAATTTTTTATAAAAATAATTAATAAATGAGATTATTAATTAATAATAATTAATAAAATAATTAATATTTATTATTTAATAAATTAAAATTAATTAACAAATTAATATTTTTAAAAATTATTTAAAAGAAAACATAAAAAATTAATCATTTTAACATTTTTTATACGAATAATAACAACGCATGTGACTAGGTACTACTGTTAGGTCGAGTTAAGTGTAATCTTTAAAAATATTAATTTTTTATAAAAATAATTAATAAATGAGATTATTAATTAATAATGATTAATAAAATAATTAATATTCATTATTTAATAAATTAAAATTAATTAACAAATTAATATTTTTAAAAATTATTTAAAAGAAAACATAAAAAATTAATCGTTTTAACATTTTTTATACGAATAATAACAACGCATGTGACTAGGTACTACTGCTAGGTCGAGTTAAGTTAGGTTTACACGACTGCAAGTTAGGTTAAGTGTCCCTAGGGAGACCTAGTTAGGGATGTCAATGGGGCCCCGCGAGGCCGAGGAGTTCGTCCCCATCCTCGTCCCTGTCCCCGTCCCCGTCCCCGAGGGGATTTTTTGACGGGGGTAGATTTTGCCCTTGCCCCCATTCCCCACCAAAATATCTAAATATGCACTTCCACTTCGACTTTGAGCAACAACAGCAATAGTGGCACTACAACAGCCGTGGCGCAGCAGTGGCAGAGCAGTGGCGCAGCAACAGTAGCAGCCATGTTGCAGCAATAGTGGCACAGCAACAGTCTCAGACGGATTTGGTTTGGCAACAACAATCCAAACTCCAGTTCAAGGCAGAAAGGTGAGATGTGAAATAGAGAAGGGTAGAAGGGCGGCAATGAAGGGATCGAGGGATTTAGGGTTTGAGATTTGTAGGGGATGGCCAAAAGGGAAGGTGGAAGATGACTTAAGTGAGTGTGAGAGAGTCCGAGAGTGAGAAGCAAAGGCAGTCACTGGAGAAATGGAGAAATGAATAAGGCTGCTTAGGGTTAAAAGGATTGGGTTGGACTAGATTGGGTTGGGTTGGGTTGGGTTGGGTTAAATTTTATTGAATTGGGTTTGGATTTTAAAATTATATTAAATTTTAAAAAAATTAATTTATATTTTCTTTTTAATTTTTTGCGATGATGGGGATCCCTGCAGGGCTTCACAAGGTGGGAAAATTCCTCGCGAAATTTCACTGGGGGAAAATGCCCCCCGTCCTCATGACGAGGATCCCCGCAGGGATCGGGGCAAATTGCCATCCCTAGACCTTGTACACTTTCAATGGTTATAAACTTCAGTTTTTATATATTGGAAGTATTTTTTTTTTTTATCTTAGTTGTACAATAAGAGGCAATTATTTCTTATCTCTTATCCCACCTCACCCGCATGCCATGCGATTCGAACTCAAAACCTTTTATTTTCAATGGAAGGAGATGACCACTGAGTTATTTAGATTATTAACTATATTGGAAGTATTAAGTTTGAATCATAGTTAAGGTGATGGAGGGGGGGGGGTGGAGAGAATATTGCTCCTCACAAGGTGGGGCAGAGGGTATTTTCACCCCATGAATTTATGTAGGGAATTTTCTCCTCCCTGCGTGGCACATTGTAATACATTTCAAACCTAACCTAGTAAAAATTAAATTTAACTAAATTTTACCCAACTTAACCCAACCCAGATCTAAGTCTAATCCAATTAAATTAAATTCTTTATTTATATTTGATTTTTATATTTGGAAAAATTTAGTTAATTATACTTGAACTTTTAGAATTTTATTCAATATGTTTGAATATTAAATGATTATATTTGGAGAATGAAATTTAGATTTTGATATGGATTGGTGGGGAATTGGAATCCCCATCCCTCGTGGGGAATAGGAATAGGAGGCAAAATCTATCCTGTCAAAAATCTTCACGGGGATTTCATCTTTGCCATTGATGGGGATGAGGACAGGAGGCGCTCCTTGACTCTGTGAGGCTCCGTTGCCACCCCTAAATCATAGAATGGGGAGGAAGGAATTTGAAAATAAAAGAGTTATCTCTTATTATATTACATGATTTATCATCTAACGTAT